TCTGATAGTGACAGTTGATTGGCAGTGGGGAGGGATTCCTCAAAATGCATCAATGGTCTTCTAGTTTGACATTGATGAGAGCTCTAAATACATGCAGCATGTCAAACGTGGATCAAAGATCGGCCAGTTCAGCAGGGACCGACTAAATTTTGGTCCATGTATTGGCAGGGAAATTGTACAGAAGTTGATCAGTACTGCAGGCTATAGCCTCCAATGTGTGCCATTGTATTCTGACAGCAGAGAAGTCTCCCCGCTGTTAGAAAACAAAAGTTCAGCTCAGGGGCGGACTGACAACTCATGGGGCCCCTGTGTCCTTGCAAACACTCAAAAAAGCCTATAAAAAAGGTACCAGGGGAATTTCATGGGGCCCCCTACTGACCCCGGGCAGTGCTTGAGTGCTCGAATGGTCAGTCCGCCCCTGGTTCAGCGGAGAAGATTCCCCTCATCCACATCAAGTATCTATTGTGTGGATAGGAAAATCGAGTCTTTTTTTTTTTTTTTTTTCAACCTGTTGGTTGAACAAAAAAAAACGGACTCATCTCTGGGCAGTCTCATACTACAAATTCTAACATGCACTGTTCCTAATGGTCAAGAAGGGCCCTGGTTATGTTTAATTCTTTTAGTAGTCTAAATAAGAGAAGTGGAAGGATGAATAAAGTGGTTGTAAACCCTTACATATACCCAGTGAAGTGACTAGCCTTAGTTGATAAACAGAGATGAAACAGATCCTCCTACATAAGCTGTACCTGATTATCTGCAGTCCCCTCATCTCTACATGCATTCAAAATATAGAATTTATACAGCTTTTCTAAGAGTTCTGAAAAAAGGGGGTGGTGAGCTGAAATTACACTTTGCAGAGCTCAGAGAGCTGATTGGAGGGAAGAGACACACCCCCTCCACACAGCACACAGGAACAGAGCTGAGGCTGTCAATCTGCTGGAGATCCCTCCCATCTTCATTTTTCTCTTGGTGTCAGGAAAACTTGTCAGAAGTGATTCATGCTGATAGCAGAGGAATAAAGCAGCAGACAGCTATGCCACTTAGTGCTCTTAATTGAGACAAGTGCATACTATAGAGGGATGTGCTTTGTTCATGTTTCATGTCTGAGGTTTACAACCACTTTAACCTACTGGCATGTTTTCGGAGTGTGGACAGCTACCCACACAAGCATAGGGAAGATATGCAAAACTTCATGCATGTCCTGACTGGGATAAGAACAAGGATACCCAGTGCGGCAAAGTGGAAGTACTAATTACTTAATTATTAAACCACTTTGCTACCATAAACGTTGACTTGTTGATCATTCCAATATTGCAAAGGTTCTGTGTTCAATGCACCCAGCCACATCTTATATGGAATACCATTAGGCAAGCGTAGTATTTACAGCTCTCCCCGTTGTGGTGGAGTAGAACAAATCACCAATTGAGGCAAGTACACACTATACGGGGATATGCTTTGTTCATATTTCATGTCTTCGGTTTACAACCACTTTAATGACTCTCAAGGGGATTTCTTCCTTTTCTGCCCTGTCCATTACCATTGCACAGAGCAGGTAAGTATATTTTAATTTATTAAACTTTTTCATAAAATAAAAATTTTACTTTAGAATCACTTTAATAATGATTGTACTTCTATCTGGATCCCATGCATTCTGTTTTGAAACTGGCTCTAGTACTGTAGCCGGTTGTAGATGGCTGCCACTCCAGATCGCAGACATGGCGGCGTGATATCAGCACATAGGCTCCACCAGGGGCGGACTGACAACTCATGGGGCCCCCGGGTAATAGGGGATCATGGGGCCCCTGTGTCCTTGCCCAAAATCAAAAAAGCCTATGAAAAAGGGCATCTCATGGGGCCCCCTACTGACCCAGGGCCCTTGGGCAGTGCCTGAGTTTCCAAATGGTCAGTCCGCCCCTGGGCTCCACCCAACGTATTTAGTGCGCATGCACATCCTTGGGGGTACGTCCAACGCGTTTCAAGCTCAGTAAACTCCCCAGCAATGTTATCCTATGTGTTCATACACACATAGGCTTTTATCAGCGTTTTTTGGCAGGGGCATTTTCAGGCTGGAAAAAACCCCCAGAACTACTGCTTTTGAAGAGGACTTTTTCAGCTGAAAAATGCTGTAATGCTAAAACAATGCGGCTATCTGGCGTTTACGAGCATTTTTGAGCCTCCAAGCTTTTGTGGGAGTATAGTTTTGCTAAAAAACACAATTACTATAAAACCGCTGAAAAACACTAAAGCAAAAATGTAACAAAACTTGTGTTTATAACACGGCATTCTACAGCTTACGCTACTGACGGTTTTGTAACGTTCAGTGTGTATTATAGGCCTTCTAATGCCTGTGTGTTTCAGTAACACAGTCAGATATTACCACAAATGCATACACTCAAACAGGCTCTAAAGTATTAAGTGTAAGTTCCGAGCATGTGTCGTGTATCAAGACACACAAAGATAGCCATATGTATGGAGTGTCTCCTGTAAATGACAGAAAACCGTAATGACACTTTTCGGTTGCTCTGATGTTTTCTGCTGGTTTATTATTAAGGATTGTGTTTGCTGTTCTGCTTCCTGTTCACATCATGTGACTTCCAGTTTCCGGTCAGCTTTAACTCTTCTTACTTAATTAGGACAATGCAGAAGCTGCATCTCAGTGAGTTCATCACATTGAATATCGGGGATAAGAAAGCCAATCACGATGCTGACCACGGAGCGCATGAAATCACGGCCAGCATCAACATGCATACTTTTATAAGGGAACAGAAGCAAAAAATACTTATTCTTCAATAAGACACTAAAAGCATGACGTTTAGGGAAATATGGTGCATGTCAGAACGTTCCAAGTCCTCTGTCATTACAGGATATTTGGGTTTAAGTTGGTTACTCATCCTGTGCAGATGTATTTATGGCTGTGTTCTGCCACACTCGTTCTCCACCCTAACTAAAATCTTTAAAAATATTATTCAACAACATTATTTCTCCTTTCCTGAGCATTAGAGACACCGGGGTTGATTTACTAAAGCTGTAGGGTGCAAAATCTGCTGCAGCTTTGTATAGAAACCAATCAGCTTCCAGGTTTTGTTATCAAAGCTTAATTGAACAAGCTGAATTAGAAACTGATTGGCTACCATTCACAGCTGCACCAGATTTTGCACCCTCCAGTTTTAGTAAATCAACCCCAGTGTGTAGGTTATAGAGGCATATAGTGCTATATATACACCCACCTGCCACTTTATTAGGTATACCTGTTCAATTGCTTGCTAACGCAAATTGCTAAGCAGCCAATCACGTCAGCAACTCGATGTATGTAGACATGGTGAAGACGACTTGCTGAAGTTCAAACTGAGCATCAGGATGGGGAAGAAAAGGGATTTAAGTGACTTTGAAGGCGGCATGGTTGTTGGTGCTAGACGGGCTAGTCTGATTATTTCAAAAATTGCCATTGTACTGGGATTTTCATACACAACCATCTCTAAAGTTTACAGAAAATGATCTGAAAAAGAGAAAAATATCTAGTGAGTGGCAGTTGTGTGGATGCAAAATGCCTTGTTGAGATCAGAGGAGAATGATCAGACTGGTTGCTGCAACATTCAGATGGTAGGTGTAATTGTGAGGGATGTTTTCTTGGCACTAGCAAGGTGTACCCAATAAAGCCGCCAGTGTGTGTGTGTGTGTATATTGCCGAACGATTTGGGACACCCCTCCAAATCATTGGATTCGGGTGTTCCAATCACCTCCATGGCCACAGGTGTATAAAATAAAGCAACTAGGCATGCAGACTGCTTCTACAAACATTTGTGAAAGAATGGGTCGCTCTCAGGAGCTCAGTGAATTCAAGCGTGGTACTGTGATAGGTTGCCACCTGTGCAATAAGTCCATCCGTGACATTTCCTTGCTATAAAGTATTCCATGGTCAACTGTTAGTGGTATTATAACAAAGTGGAAGCAACTGGGAAAAACAGCAACTCGGCCATGAAGTGGTAGGCCATGTAAAATCACAGATTGGGGTCAGCGCATGCTGAAGCGCACAGTGTGCAGAAGTTGCCAACTGTAGAGAGTCAATAGCTAAAGACCTTCAAACTTTGTGTGGCCTTCAGATTAGCACAACAACAGTGCGTAGAGAGCTTCATGGATTGGGTTTCCATGGCCGAGCAGCTGCATCCAATCCTTACATCACCAAGTGCAATGCAAAGCGTTGGATGCAGTGGTGTATAGCATGCCACCACTGAACTCTACAGCAGTGGAGACGTGTTCTCTGGAGTGGCGAATCATTCTTCTCTGGCTTGCAATCCAATGGATGTGTCTGGAATTGGCAGTTGCCAGGAGAACAGTACTTGCCTGACTGCAATGTGCCAAGTGTAACGTTTGGTGGAGGGGGGATTATGGTGTGTTGTTTTTATTCAGGGGTTGGGCTTGGCCTCTTAGTGCCAGTGAAAGGAACTCTTAAGGCATCGGCATACCAAGACATTTTGAACAATTTTGTGCTCCCAACTTTGTGGGAAAAGTTTGGAGATGGCCCCTTCCTATTCCAACATGACTGGGCACCAGTGCACAAAGCAAAGTCCATAAAGACATGGATGAGCGAGTTTGCGGTGGAGGAACTTGACTGGCCTGCACAGAGTCCTGACCTCAACCTGATAGAACACCTTTTGGAATGAATTAGAGCGGAGACTGCGAGCCAGCATTCTCATCCGACATCAGTCCCTGACCTTACAAATGTGCTTCTGGAAGAATGGTCAAACATTCCCATAGACACACTCCTAAACCTTATGGACAGCCTTCCCAAAAGAGTTGAAGTTGTTATAGCTGCAAAGGGTGGGCCAACTCACTACTGAACCCTACCTCACAGTGGGTGAACGGCTAAAAAAAGAAAGATTCCAACATGATAGAGCTACATTCTGCCTTCATCATACATGGTCATCTTTCTTGACAAATAATTGAACATGGTAGGAAGTACTTGTTTTGCTTCTTGTAACTTATTTTATATTAGAGTGTCACTAAACCCACAACAGTAAAATCAGTCTGTATATGCAGTAAAGCATGCTTGTTATACTCACTGTGCAACCTAAAGGGTTAATCATCTGCATTGTGTAAAAACGCTGTTTGATCCTAACTTCTCTGATCCTTCCCTTCTTCCAGTGTCCCCCCTCTTATCTCCTGATAAGACATATCGTGTGGAGTCACTCTACATGATCAGGTGTGTTTTGCTAGTGAAGTTTTTTATGTTTTTTTTTCTTGGGAGAGTACACGTGATCAGCACAGGGCCAATCAGCACTGTTCAGACAGAGGGTCAGGGGTACTGCATCCTCCTAGAGCAGTATGAAAACACCTACAAGCTTTAACCAGTGCTCTGCTGGACACTGATAGAAGTCACAAGACTGCTCTAACTGCTGATGAGAAAAGGTATTTAGCAGTTTATATTTACGAAAATAATTGCATTTCCATGTTCTGTGTACTGTAGGAGACCTGATATAGTGAATGCAGGGTCCTGGGTTTAGTAACACTTTAATCCTTCTTTAGAAAGAGATGATGAGCAGACAGAACCTGTCATCCATTCACACCGCATTACCAGACTTTACAGTTTCATGTGGCATTACTTCTTTTCCATTCTCCTGGAGCTGCCAAGACTCCCAGCCCAACTCAGAACAATGGTGTTTCTGTTAGTTCCCCACTGTCTGGCCACGTCACACTTCACATGCATCCTCCAAACTTTCCACTTCTTTGCAGGACAGGTAAACCTCCAGAGATCAGCATTCACTGAACACTGCTTCCTTCATCCTCCAAAGCTCAACTCAATCCTTCCAAGCTTCCTATGGTCTTATTCACTTTTCCAAGATGCTGTTAAAGTATACGTAAAGCCAGTCAAAATCTCATATACGTTTGAAATGTTAATGCACAAAAAAACATTTTTTTTTAACTGTTTATCAAAATAATACCTAGCCAATGATCCTGCCAATGAAAGCTCTTGTTTAGGCGTTTACTGTAATGGTGTCTTCCAGTTATTCTCCTGAATTGGTCAGCAAGTATGGAGACTACAAGCAGCCATGCTGAGACATACTTTGCCTAGGCATGGGCCACCATTTTACTGTCAGGTAGAGATGAGTTCAGGCATTAGAGTCCAAACCCACCTAAGCTATCCCACCAGGAAGCAGTCATTGTGGACAGACAATCATAGGCAATGGAGTCATTCCCTGCCTGCGGCCATGTGTATACAGGGGGGGCCAGGGAATGCCTCTGCTTCTTATGATTGGCTGTCCACAGTGACAGCTTCTGGGAGGGAGATCTCAGATGGGTTTAGATTAGTGTCTGAACATGCCTGAGATCATCAATACTAGAAGATAGTCCAGGAAGATAGGAAGTCTAGGAAAATAGTGGCCAGTGCTGAAGCATGAGCTTGTAAACAGAGAACGGCTAAATGATTCTGGAACATAGCAGCAATGCTATGATGCATAAAAGATCAAACCGGTGAAAACAAATATTTTTCTATTTTTGATACCTATGTCTTTTTCTATTTTTGATGCGTAGGCTTATACAAACTACATTTCAACCAGTTAGGGTTTACATCTACTTGAAGTATAACACTCTGGTTGGCTTTTTTCAGCCCCTTCTTGAATTGTTCAGTTGAAATCATTCTGATTCAGCAGCTAGGACCTAAAAATAAATGATCTTTTTTGGGAGTGCAGCTTAGAATTTGACTAATGCATCAGTATAATCTGAATTAGGGGTGTGCTAGGAAAATTATACATCACCACCAACCAGTTGTTGATGATTTTGCTGTGCTTGTAACACCATTTTTATTTTAGTACATCTGGTGAGGCATTCATGACTACAAGGCAGGCATTGTGCCATCATTTCCTCCTACATCTATGAACAGATTTCTATGGCAGACATGGAAGTCCAACATTTCTTTAGCGACTAATAGTGTATGACAGCTGAGATTTCTAAGTTAAAGGCCACAGTTGTAGCCCATGCAAATCTCAGCTTTCGGGTCCCTTCAAGAAAAGAAGTATTATACTTATTTCTTTGGTGGCTTTGTGTCCTAACTTTGATTTGTTTAACTGCTGCAGCCCCTGTCAGATTCTAAAGCATTTACACTTCTGGGAGTGTCAGATGCCCAGGCCCTCGACACCTGTTGTGATTCTATCTTCCATGTCACTGCTGTGTCCTGTAGTGATGTTGCTAGGACATTGCTAAGACATTAGCTGATTCAAACCTTTTTGCATGTACTCTCGCTCCATTGCTGCAGTAGCTCTAAGCTCAGCAACACTGCCAGGAGATAGTGGACCACACATGTGTGTTGGTTTTAGAACTTACTCCTGTAATGTTGGGGTGAGCAGTAATAGCTGAGAGTGCCTTAGCAACATCCTGGCAACAAGACAGGTTGGGATGAGCCATCCCTGGGATTTTTTTCTGCCATGCTTCGGGAGTTACATAATTGGCCTACACCTATAGCAGGGGCATTATCCACTTGAATCAAAACTGCACAGTTTTTTTTCCGACAGGCAAGCCTTACTTGCATGGGCAGTTTTTTAATAAAGTAGAACTAACCCTTTAATGCACGGGTGTCAAACTGGTGGCCTTCGAGCCCCATGAGGCATTGCAAGATTGACAGTTACAAGCATGACTCCCAAAGGTGGAGGCATAATGGACTTGTAGTTTCGCAACAGCTGGAGGCCACCAGTTTGACACCCGTTCTTTAATGGGTAGCACCAAGCAAACTAAGGTTATACTTAGAATCTGATTGGGTTACAGCTTTCATTTTTCCAGTGAGAGAGATTACCAAAGCAAAACAGCCATTTGCAGGCATGCAACCTGGCAGGGGTGTCCCTAGGGTTGGTGTCACCCGGTGCGATAACACTTGGTGACACCCCCTCCGACGATCCCCAGAATGGATCGGATCTACGGATTGAGCATAATGGATTGGACTCCGATCCATTATGCTCCCCAATCCGAAGATCCGAACCATCCTGCGGGGATCGTCGGCATGCAACCTATAGGGGGTGACACTGGACCCGCTGCACGAAAAGGTAAGTTGTAAAGAAAGCCGACGATCCCCGCAGGATGGATCAGATCCATCCTGCCTCGGGACGCCACTGCAACCTGGTCACCATTATGAACAAGAACATACAGGCTTACTCAAGATCTTACAGTCAGTGATGTTTACTAAGTCTGCTTTGCTGCAAACAGATGCAGAGGTTCATTAAGGGCATCATGAACCACTATGTCATTATGAACAATTAGCGTGCCCTGCACCCTTCAATTACATTCAAGACTTTAGATGTGACCTTGACAGGTTGATGGCTGTGCGAGAATAATAATTCTTACATTAAACTTGAGATAAACAATTCCCATAGCTGTAAATGTATAGTGTATCTCCTATTATACAAACATCAGTTGTTTGCAGGGACCACCCAGCTGGAAGCGCTTCCTCTCTGCATTAGGTATCCTGAGCTGCCTTATACAAGTTCTGAGTTTGCAGAGCAGCCATCAGCATTTTCTCCTTTCATCCCGCAAAGCAATGTGTCTCCATCTCTGTTGGTCACCCATATCATTTTGTGGATGTGGCGCCTCTCAAAACCCAGAGGACACTGGGAAACATTGTGGGATGTGGCAGACTGAATTGAATTTTGTAACAACACAAGGAAAAAAGTCTGCTTCCTATCATCATTACTTTCCTACCACCACCAATCAGATTTAAACCTGCCCTGGACAATGTCATGAAATCTTGAATCTAATTGGAGGCTGTGAGTAAATCTGATTGTTCATACTGATGTGGTGGTCCATGATGGCCAAATGTATCAATGATCATTCCTAAATGAACTTTGTGATAAACAGCAGAATTCTCATCACAGGGGTGCAGCAGAGATTATTTTGATTATTACTTAAAAAGAACAGATTTACCTGAACATTTTGTGTTGGAGTAGCAAAGGGACACATACTCCGTCACTTCTTGTTGGCCCTAAACAACATCTGTTCTTTGTTGGCCTTCAGTCTTAGTCTTCATACTTATAGAATATGTAAACTCAACAATTCATATTCCTGATATGTGCCTGCTGTACCACCTACTTGTATGAAAAAGTATCCTTTTCTTTGTATCGCTTCCTTTGTGTGAAATCCCTGGTGTTTTTGCCAGTTCCTCTGCTTTCCTATTAAAAACTGACTAAACTAGGCATGATGGCACAGCATGGTCAGTTCTCTCTTGCTGTACCGGGAACTAAGCCTGCTCTCCTACAATGATCAGACTTCTTTTGACACACCTCTCCCTGCACAGCCATTCACTGGGAAGATCGGTGTTCTGTGGTTTCTCTTCCCCCCCCAGCTCTTTTGCAGTTAAGGACAGAGGGTTAGTGATCACTTATAAAAAAGAGAAAACAAGGATGTATAAAATGTTTTTTTTTTTTTTTTTTTTTATCTATATACAAATGTTTGGCCTTCCATTTGTATTTTAAAGTGAATGGGTTGTTTTACAGGTGAGGGTTTGGCAATGCACGCACCAATGGGGTGCTATACCACAACTTAAGGTAACGTGTGTTGGTGCGATGATGTGCCATTCATTCTATAGCAGGCCAGCCACCTTCTCAGTACACTTGCATACCTTGTAGTGCACTGTACTGCTGAATATGCAGCATTCATGATTTTTGGCCTGTTGTGGTGCATTGTCCAGCCCATTTAAAGTGGTTGTAAAGGCTGAAGTTTTTTTCTACCTTCATTCTATGCATGAAAGTATGCTCCCCCCCACAGTCCCTCCCTTATATGCCCCTCTCCAACAAGTGACGTGCACAGGAGCCTCGACTGCCCCAAGTCTCTCTCTCCTCATTGGCTTAGACACAGCAGTGGGAACCATTGTTTTTTTGTGACTTTGTGTCTTATGGACACCAAGAGCTTGAACTCGGGAACTTGCACTCACTAGTGACCACATAGCAAGTGGTTTGCTATTGGGGGCACTGGTAAATGGGGAGGAGCCAGGAGCGCCAGCAGGTGACTCCAGAACAGGAGGATCTGGGCTGCTCTGTGCAAAACCATTGCACAGAGCAGGCAAGTATGACATATTTGTAAAGGTTTTTTTTTCCCTAAATAACAATCACTTTAAATCAATAGGCTGTCATAATACAATACTCTTTAATGTGCATGCATTTATTGCACCACAGAAAACCAGGCTGGTGGAAATGGGCCCTAACACATGGAAAATGAGGACAAGACCTTATTTAACTAAATCTTTTTTTATCATATTAGATGAGTTTATAAGGGGCAAGCATCACTGAGAAGTACAACACTACTGAATGATCCATTCTTCATGTTAATAAACAAATTACATGAAACATTTTGAACTTTGTTCAATAAACCTGATTTTTTTTTTTTATAGTTGTGGATAGTGTCAGTTGATGGAACCCTGTCTAGATTTTACTGCTTTCATGGAATCCATTAGAAAGATTTCCCCTCTCTTACTGTTCTGTTGTCATTGATTTCACCAGACAGGAAGTGAGTAAAAAATCTGCTGTGGGGACACATGCAACAAAAAAAGGCTCACCTGGGGTTCTAGTCTTTCCTAATGTTCTGGGAAAAACATTTTCATTTTTTTTGCTGTTGCAGATTTACCCTCACTTCTTGTCTGCTGAAACCAGCGGCTAGACATAGACTTTTTAACGCAAACTTGTCACAAAAAGACTGATCATAGAACAGTGGTGCCAGTACAGATCATTACAGCAGCACATGCTCACCCATTAATGCAATGGTAAAAATTAGAACTACTCAGCAGGTGTCATCCTAATTACACAACCTTTATATCTGATTGGTGTGACATTGCATATCATATTCAAAGCTTAACTCTAGAAAAAAAATGTTTGCACATTTGCTTTGTATTAATAAAGTATCTCTAACAGAATACATTGCATTCTGTGATTGGAGGAGGGGAGATTGACGTTCAGCTGCTCCACCCCCTTTAAATTCTGTGAAAAGAATACAATACTTATTATGAATGGATGGGGTAGAGTGCAAGTGACCCACTACCCTTCACTGTACACAGCTCTTACTGTACTATCGAGGATGAATGAAAGGAAGAGTTCTAACACAGGGTCATCCACACATAGGACACACATAATTAGAGGGAGTTTGTTGGTACATATGTGCAAAAATATACACCCCCCCCACCAGAGATCAGCTTTACATAAGAAGTACTTCTAAAACAAACTTAAGGACCGAATGTCATCTTGTAGTTCTGGTTTGCAGTTACACTGCAGGCAAGGTGAATGTAAACAGAGCCATACTTAGTGTTACTAAACCCACAACCATAAAATCATTCAGTATATGCAGTAAAGCATGCTTGTTATACTCACTGTGTGGAACCTAAGGGGTTATTCCTCTGCATTGTGAAAATAGGCTGTTTGATCCTGACTTCTCTGATCCTCTCCTTCTTCCATTGTCCCTGACTCATCTCCTGATAACACAGTCCTTGGAGTCACTCTGCTCATGCTCAGTTTGGTGTGTATTGCTAGAGAGTTTTTTTTCCCTTTGGGAGGGTGCATGTGATCAGCACAGGGCCAATCAGCACTGTCCAGACAGAGGGACGGGGGATCTGCAGCCTCATAGGAGAATTAAACTCCTACAAGCTTTAACCAATGCTCAGCTGGACACTGATAGAGGTCACAAGACTGCTGTAACTGCTGATGAGAAAAGGTATTTAGCAGTTTATATTTACTAAACTAATTGCATTTCCTTGTTCTGTGTACTGTGGGAGACCCGATAGTGTATGCAGGGTTTTGGGATCAGAAACACTTTAAAATAGTCTGGAATTGTGATGACATCTCTCAAGCACAGAGGGAGAGAGAGAAACATCAGAGACATGAGGATATATTTACAAAGTTATTTTATGATCACTGGGTGTAATAAAATAGACAATGCTTTCCTAATGTACCATTATTCTTAAAATTAAATTGAAACATTTCTGCATTTGAGGTTTGGCACTCAAAAGAAAACCTATTTGTTCAGTAATTGCAGACAGAACACATCATATCTGTGCAACACTGAGAATGATATAAACATTGGACATTAAAGTTGAAGATGATCTATCCATTGCTTCAGCCACAAGTATATTTAGCTAAGTAGATGTGTGTTTGTTTGATGGTGGCTTTGTGGTTTGTATTTCTGGGAAGAGCATAAATTATAATTGAAATGCAGCATTTACTATAATGATGGAGTGTAGTGGAGTTGCAGAGCTTTGCACAGGTAAAGTGAGGTCCCTCAGTGATGAGGAACTACAACTGACAGCGTGCCTAGCTGGTCAGAATGCTGGGATATGTATGGCTGTATTAGGTATTCTTAAATGTAGTAATTAACAGCAATCAAATCTAAAGTCTATTTTGTATTGTTTTAACCTTCATTTATATTGTAGCCTAATATTGTAGACAGTAGGGGTGCGGAAATGTAAAAAAAAACCAAAACTACTTGTCCAAGGGACTAAATTGGGGACTCGTACTACTTGTCCCTCATGACCTCCCTGCCTGTCTCCAGCACCACACTCAGGGATTAGCAGGGGGGGGAGAAACCTTGCAGTGTGATGAGCACCGACTGGGTGCTCATTAGGAAATGGGAGTGTCAGGCTCTCAGCGAATCTGCTGTCCCTATTCCACACACTGACACCCTAAGCTCCGCCCTCACGCTGTCACGCACAGTATACTCCGGTACTATAAGCGCATCTCACAGTCTCCCTGTCCGCACACCCATACATACTCTGTCTCTTGCAACAACCTGTCCGCCCCTCCCGTAACACCATATGACCCTGGAGCGCCCCATACCCACCTTGCTGCATATGACCTATACCTGATAAGTGTCGTTGCTCGGTGTCAAAGTTTATGCATCACACTGGAACAGCATCGCTGCAACAGCGCCACCATCTTGAGATGTTCACTCAGTTGCTAAAGCAAATTACCCTTTTCCTGTGGGATCCTTGCGCACTGTGGGGGCATGGCCTAGCCTCCACTAGATCCCGCCTTCTTACATACATCCCCAAACAATAAGCACTGAATTCCTAACAGTTTTGCCTGGGAAATCACAGAGAGGCCAGCTGAGGGGTCCTATGGAGACTGGCAACTCTTCCCGGCAATCTGTGTTTACAGAAAATCAACAGCAATAAAAGCAGTATCACATAAAAAGACAATTGCCCTCGGCCAATGGATGCCTGATTCCACTGATCCTGCCCTCTAGAGAGGGCAAGAGGAATGCAGGGCTGGTCAGGGTAGATCTCTCCCCATCGACCTATTGCTTTCCGTGCGCTGCCTATTCTTTTTGGGTGGCTGGGGCTATTTTTTTTATTTTTGTACAATATGTTTTTAAGGTATTGAATACATTTACAAAGTTCTAAAATACAGCAAGTAGGAAAAGGAGATAGAAAAAGGGAGGAGTGGAGTATGTTGCACACAGAGGGGAGGAGTTGCAGGAGTAAGTTGCACACAGCAGGCGAGGAGAGGAGTACGTTGCACACGTCGGGCGAGGAGAGGAGTACGTTGCACACGTCGGGCGAGGAGAGGAGTGCGTCACACGGGGCGAGGAGAGCAGGGCGAGGAGAGGAGTGCGTTGCACACGGCGAGGCGAGGAGAGGGAGTACGTTGCACACGGCGGGGAGAGGAGAGGAGTACGGTGCACACGGCGGGCGAGGCGAGGAGTACGGTGCACACGGCGGGCGAGGAGAGGAGTGCGGTGCACACGTCGGGCGAGTGGAGTATTGCACAAGAGGAGAGGAGTACCGTGAACTATTAGGCCACTTCCACTAGATCACTAGACGATCCAATTGGTTCTGTCTGTTTTTCAGGTGGACTCGATCAGACACTCCATTCTCCTCTATGAAGCGGTGTGTGTAAACGGACATGTGACACCTGCCTACATGCAATATGATTCGCTAAAAACACAAACCGATGGGGATCTGTTCCCCTCCATCTGAGTGGATTGGATTAGATGGCAGGTGGTTTATTTGCATCCGACCTCCCATACAGGGGAATGGGTTGTGTCCACTCTGCTTATACAGGACCTATCATTTGCTCGCTCCGCTCTGCTTAGTGGGGATCAGTGGACAGATCCCCTTCTAAGCACGCGGATTGCAGGCAGCATGAAAGGGGCTTTAAATAAAAAGGAGCACAAAGTTCTGGTGCAGAGGGAGTGGTACCGGCAGGGACATTGGGCTGTGCAGTGCTTGCAGTATACCTGGAAGTCTTGCTTTGAAGATGGGGTAGCAGGAGCTGTAGTCTCTCCTCTCTCCTCCTCTCTCCTCCATACCAGTTCCGGCAGCATAAGATACATGGCAAAGAAGAAAGAGAAGGGCTCCTGGGAATGTTCACCCTGACACCAGCGGCTGCTGCTATGCTTGTGTCTGAGCCCTTTTCCTCAGACTTTAGTGACACCAAGGTTCAGCAGTATCACAATACTGCAGGAAGCTGCAGGAGTGCCGCTATTGCTGGTCACAGCATTTTCTGGGGATGGTGGAGAGAGCATGGATTGGACAAAACATGGAAGCATTAAATCATGATTTGCAGGTGTGAAAGCGAAGACCCCGTTTTGCATTGGAAGCAGAAGTGATGTAACATTCTTTTGCTTCCGCTGTGTGATGAGACACCTAGCTAACAGGTGGGAGGCCTCACTTTTGTCATTCACTGGGTGCTCCAATCATGTCAGAGCTTACTGAGCTTCACAGGACAAAATTGTGATGCCTGTTTAGCTGGTGCCTCTGTGACTGAAGTTGCCAATGTATTTGCTGTGGTGTGATGTACAGTATCAAAGGTTGTGATGGCCTATACAGTTTCCAAGAAAACGTTTTCTGATAAGCATCCGCACAGTTGACATGGTCATCTGTTATAAAGGCTCCAGCTTGTTTACCTTCATGCATTCTGTTTATGAAGTTAAAAAAAAACCTTGTGTGTGTATAAGCCCCCCCCCAACATTACCTGGGCCCCATCCCGATCCTGCGCTGTCCACGAGAGCCTCTGTTCTTCGGGGACTCTCACTCCTGATTGGCTGGGGCAGCAGCAGGATCCATGGTCAATCACAACCAGTGTGCCAATCAGGAAGGGGTGAGGCTGAGCCACAGCTCTCTGTGTGAATGGACATGCAGAGCCACAGCTCAAGAGCATGCCTGCTCGGGTGCCCCTATAGTAGTCGTTTGCTGGGGGGGGCACCGACAGGAGGGAGGAGCAGCAGTGGGGGGCCCGAGAAAAGGAGGATCCGGCCTGCTCTGTGCAAAACCACTTTGCAGAGCAAGTAGCTGACATGTTTGTTGTTGTGTATTTTTTTTTTTTTTTTTAAACAAGACTTTAGTATCACTTTAATTGCATTGGCTGTGGAGTAATACTGCAGCTACAGTACAGCACCTTGTCTAAAGTCCCGGCTGACAGGTTCATTCAGTCCCCTGCAGAGTAATATGAACAGCGAGCCCCTCTCCTCTCTTAATTCCATGGGAAAGAAAGTGGAACTACTCCTGCAGTGCCAGGTGAAGGCGCCATTTTTGTTTGGTAAACCCCCATTTCATCTTAGATTTTCCATTAGATTGTGCAGTTTTGGTGCATTTTCTGAAAGCACACTAAAAATGCAGCATGCAGGACTGTTGGAGCACTTTCAGGAACATGGGTTTTGCCTGCGCTGCACTCAGACCTAAGCACAGCATTGTGAAACTGGCTCTACACTTCTGTTCTGCTGGCTGCTTCTGGCTATAATCTAATCTATCCAATTAAGTAGTGTCCACTCAGGCATACTCCTGCTCTACATAGTAGATCAAAAGAAGATTGTACAATCAGATTGCAATGTATATGGTGACCCTTTGCTTACGTGTTTTGCAGGGCAGGGAATGACCCAACGAGATTTGGATGTTGGGATATACAACGATCCCACGTTTTCCCCGCCGCAGCCCATTTCACCGGCCGTCCTGTATTCCAGGCGCCGGTATCTTCAGTGTCGGCACCTGGCTGTGAGAGCTTGCGGCTTCACAGCCGGGTGCCCACTGCGCATGTGCAAGAAGCGCTGCTGTTCCTGAATGGCCCGTCATCTTCTGGAACCTGTCACCCATCCCACAAGACTTCAGGGAGGGAGGATAGGAAGACAACTTCCGCCTCCGATCGCCTAGGCGAAGTGGGAGCGGGTACCTGTCAAATACTTGCTTCAACTCTTCTGGGAAGGCTGTCCACAAGGTTTAGGAGTGTGTCTATGGGAATGTTTGACCATTCTTCCAGAAGTGCATTTGTGAGGTCAGGCACTGATGTTGGACGAGAAAGCCTGGCTCGCAGTCTCCGCTCTAATTCATCCCAAAGGTGTTCTATAGGGTTTAGGTCAGGACTATGTGTGGACCAGTCAAGTTCCTCCACCCCAAACTCGCTCATCCATGTCTTTATGGACCTTGCTTTGTGCACTGGTGTGCAGTCATATTGGAACAAGAAGGGGCCATCCCCAAACTTTTGCCACAAAGTTGGGAGCATGAAATTGTCCAAAATGTCTTGTTATGCTGATGCCTGAAGAGTTCCCTTCGCTGGAACTAAGGAGCCAAGCCCAATCCCTGAAAAGCAACCCCACACCATAATCCCCCCTCCACCAAACTTTACACTTGG